CAATTGAGAAGTACATAGATTGCTTGTTTCAAATTCTCAAAAGACAGCTAGGAATGTGGCTTAGTGGTGGAGTGCTTGCCTTGCATGCATGAAGCCCTGGGTTCGATTCCTCAGCACCATATCAACAGAAAAAGCCAGAAGTGGTGCTGTGGCTCAAGTGGTAGAGTGCTAGCCCTGAGCAAAGGAAGCTCAGGGACAGTGCCCAGGCCCTGAGTTCAAGCCCCAGGCCTAGCAAAAAAAAAAATCTTAAAAGCCATTGTGGCAGGCAGCCTCTAAAATCTCTCCCTGGGCCCCACCTTCTGCTATTCACAGGCTTGTGTAAGGTCCTTCCTGGGACCATGTGAGCACCACTGATATGAGAGTCAGGCAGGAAACCACAGCCATAGGAAACTAGAAAGATCATGCTCTCCTTAAAAGAAATTCAAGGGGCTGGGAAGGTGGCTCAGTGGTAGAGCGCTTGCCTTACATGCATGAGGCCCTGGGTTCGATTCCTTAGCACTACATAAGCAAAAAGAAAAAAGAAAGCCGGAAGTGGCACTGTGGCTCAAGGGGTAGAGCGCTAGCCTTGAGCTGAAGAGCTGAGGGACAAAACAAAAAACAAATTCAAAATAGCGTTGATGACCACGAAAGCCAAGTCTGTGTATTGAATATGATTCTACCAATACCAAGTTGTAATCAATCTCCGTAGCTAGCAACATTGCAATGAAAGGCTAAGGAGCTATCCATGAGTACAGAGAATTTAGGTCTTGCCATATCTTTCACAGATGCTGGAAGAGTCTGTAAGCAGCTTTTCCTTACATACCCATTCATGCAAGACATTCAGTCAATGGGGAAACATTCATGGCATAGGCAACGTAAGCTATACACTACGCTGCATACCAATGCTGTTAGACCAAAATTTGTACTTTAAATCTTTCTATTTTGTGCCTTTCCAAGTTTGGATTATTTGTATCAGTACTGTATTTGCTGGTAATGCAGATTCTCTATTTTAAGAAATAAGTTCCAATCCCAAATTCACAAATAAAGAATTATTATAATAATAGCATATTCATGAAAAGCAAATTACTTATCTTGGCGTTTAACATCCTTGTAACTATTCTTGTACTTTTAATGTCAACAGAAAAAAAAGTAATGCTTAAGTCTGGCTGATATAGTAAATTAATGTTAATAACAGTTTTGACACTAATAGCAAGTATTAAAAAGAAAAACCTCTAGTCTCTAAGCTGGGTTTCATTTCTTAAAAATTACCTGAGCACACTGTCACCAGACTCCCCAAGAACAATTCCAGCTTCGATGTCGCTTTCACTAGAAACCTGAAACAACTAGTCTATAATATTTCTATGATAGGGCTGGGAAGGTGGCTCAGTGGTAGAGCGCTTGCCTTGCATGCATGAGGCCCTGGGTTCGATTCCTCAGCACCACATAAACAGAAAAAGCCGGAAGTGGCGCTGTGGCTCAAGTGGTAGAGTGCTAGCCTCGAGCTGAAGAGCTGAGGGACAGCGCCCAGGCCCAGAGTTCAGGCCCAGGACTGGCAAAAAATAAAAATAAAAAAAAATATTTCTATGATAAGCTTGGCGCCAGCGAGTCAAGCCCATAATCCTAGCTACTTAGGAGGCTGAGATCTGAGGATTGAGGTTCAAAGCCAGCCCTGGCAGGAAAGTCCCTGAGACTCTTATCCCCAATTAACCACCAGAAAGCCAGCAGTGGCACTGTGGCTCAAGTGGTATAGCACTAGCTTTGAGTACAAAAGTTCAGGGATAGTACCTAGGCCCCATGACCAACAACAACAAAAAAATCTAGCTGGGCACTGGTGGCTCACACCTGAAATCCTAGCTACTCAGGAGGCTGAGATCTAAGGATCTCTTGTCTCCAATAAACTACTTGGAAAAAAGCTTGAAGTGGCACAGTGGCTCAAGTGGTAGAGCACTAGCCATGAGCCCAAAGAGGCTCAGGGATAGTACGTAGGCCCTGAGATCAAGCCCCAGGACCAGAAAAAAGAATTCCTATGATAGTCCACCCTTTCCCTGCCTTTGCTTCCTCCTGGTGGAAGAAACCATTCAGACCTTGGATTCCAATGCAAGGTCTCCGTGTCAGTGACTTGGTTCTGAAAAACCTGTCAGCAAATGAATACTGTATGGTTTGAGGAGAAAGCACTGTTGTTTCTTTTCTTTCTTTCTTTCTTTTTTTTTCTGGTCCTGGGGCTTAATTCAGGGCCTGGGTGCTATCCCTGAGCCTCTTTGTGCTCAAGGCTAGCACTCTACCATTTGTCCCACAGTGCTACTTCTGTCTTTTCCTGAAGTTTATTTGGGATAAGAGTCTCATGAACTTTGCTGCCTGGGCTGGCTTTGAACTGCGATCCTCAGATCTCAGCCTCCTAAAGTAGCTAGGATTACAGGCGTGAGCCACCAGCGCCCGGCGCCATGTTGTTTCTATAGAGCCTGAAATTGAGTTGTGAAAATGGGAACTACTAAGAGACACAGGAGATCAAATTGGAAAGGTCAGATCCTTATGTTCTCAAGACCAGAGCCTTTACTTTGTCCGCTCGATGAAACTGTCTGAATTAAAAGTTTTAATGGACCTGAGGAAAATGAAAGACGGAAAGGAGCCCAGTACCTAGCCCTTTCCATCCTGCCAGATCTTTCTGGAAGTTATTAGGGGTTCAGGAAGTGCATGCAGACGATCCACCCCTCTCAGCCTCAGCCCATAGACCGGACATTGTTGGCCAAGCATATCTACTTCTCAAATCACTTAGAAGCTTTAAGAAAACCATCTCTGCTGAGTGCCGGAGGCTCATGCCTATAATCCTAGCTAGTCAGGAGGCTGAGATCTAGAGATCATGGTTGAAAGCCAGCCCAGGCAGGAAAGTCCATGAGACTCTTATCTCCAGTTAACTGCCAGAAAACAGGAAGTGGCACTGTGGCTGTGTTAGCTTTGAGCATAGGGACAGTGCCCAGGCCTTGAGTTTAAGCCCCACAACCAACAAAAAAAGAAAGAAACAAGGAAGGAAGGAAGGAAAGGAAGGCAGGAAGGAAGGAAAGAAAGAAAGAAGAAGGAAGGGAGGGAGGGGAGGGAGGAAAGCAGGAAGGAAGGAAGGAAGGAAAACATCTCTTCCAACTTCTGGAACATTGTTCAAATTACTAATTGAGTGTTTAACTTTTAGATAATCTTATAATGAATGTGCTCAAATGAACAGAAGCTGCAGTGACAAGCCATCAATAAAGTAATTAAATTGAAGTGGATTTTGTTAGAGACTTCTCATATCATATTTGGGAATCTCAACTACTTTGAATCGGAGAAATCAAAGAGAATTGTTTCTTATTGTTTTAAAATGAAAATTAGCTTCAAAAATGTAAGACCTCGCTGGGCAATGGTAGCTTACACCTGTCATCCAAGCTACTCAGAGGGTTGAGATCTGGGAATTACGGTTCAAAGCCAGCTTGGGCAGGAAAGTCTGAGAGACTCTGATCTCCAATAAACTACTCAGAAAAATCTGGAAGTGGTAATGTGGCTCAAGTGGTAGAGCGCTAGCCTTGAGTACAGAGAGGCTCAGGGACAGAGCCCAACCCTGAGTTCAAGCCCCCAAACCACCCAATAGAACCTCCATTCAGTTAGCTGACAACACTGCTTCTTTTCTTTTGGGGGGGGGAAGGGTAAGTACAGTAGAAATACCAATGGAGTTCCAAGTGGCGTCGAGAATTTTGTTTTTCCTTTCCATGTGATCATTCACAGTTATCTATAGGATTTAGGCAAGAAAACAATCGACATCTCTCTCTTAGATGATGGCCTCAGCTCCCCTAAAACTTTTGTGACAAGTCCCCAGTGAAACTTGTATGCCATGGAAAATGGTAAAATAGATGCATGGTGGACACCTACTTTGCAGGGCAAAATCCTACCTCCTCTCTTCCTCTTACTACCAGTGAAAGAGGAACAAAGTAAATTGAGGGGATGGGTAGGGTTGAGAGACATGGAGGAAAATGATGAAAAGGATGATGTTGATCCAGATGCATACTCACAAACTGACATGTGAAATTGAGACCCCCCCGGCACAACTCCTAAAGATGATTTTTAAAAATAAGAGAAAAAGAGAGAGAGAGGAAAAGAAAAGAAAAGAGAAAAGAGCCAGGCACTGGTGGCTCACACCTGTAATCCTAGCTTCTCAGGAGGCTGAGATCTGAGGATCTAGGTTTGAATCCAGAAAATTGGAAGTGGCACTGTGACTGAAAGTGATAGGGCACTAGGCTTGAGGACAAAAGCTCAGGGACAGCGCCAGGCTCTGAGTTCAAGCCTCACGACCAAGAACAACAACAAAAAAAAAAAAAAAAAAAGGAAGGAAGAAGGGAGGGAGGGAGGGAGGGGGAGGGGAAAAAAAAAAAAAAAAAAAGGAAGAAAAAAGAGAAATAGAGAAAAAGACTATTCCTATGAGAAAGGGTGGCCAAGGGGTTGGAGGCGTGGCTCAGGTGGTAGAACACCTGCCAATGAACGTTAAGCATCAGAGAGCAAGTTCAAGTCCTGGTCTCCAATGGAAAAACAAAGGGTGTTCTAGACAACTACATTTCTTTTGTATAGTCCTCCCCAAAACATAAATGCCTGTGATTGATACAAGAGCCCATGGACTTTGTCTTGCAAGACAAGGTCCATGCTTCCCTGACCTGCTTTGCTCTTAGTCCCAAGCTTTGCATCAGCTCCAACTGAGAGCCTGGGATGAGCCATGAATCCATTCTCTGCAATTCTAGACATTCAATGATAACCAAATGGCTTCCCAGCTCTGGACAAAGTATAGCAACAGAGATCAGGCCAGGTTTTCGATGATACTGGGTGCCACCGGGAGAAGTAAGACAGTAGCTCAGTAAGGAAGTAATATGGACTTGAAATCACTGGGGCTGATGCCAGGCAGAGGCTATGTCATGGACTAAGGTGAGGGATCTTCTCTAGTGGCTCCATAAACTGAGGATGAACTAAAAACACACATCATTGCCAGGCCACTTGAAATCATTACATACCCATGCTCCATCAGGCCCAAACAGTTCTAGGAAGTTGCCAATGAATTCCCTTGACTTCTCTTCCCACTTTTGAATTAGATCGTGACTCTTTTCTTCCACTCTGTTAACAAATTCCTTTGATCTTTCCTCCACATTCTTGACCTTTTCCTTCATCTTGTCCACCTGGTTCTGGAAACGATACTTCTTCTCCTAGTTAAAATATACAGCAGAAAGAAATGGATTTATCCAAGAGATCAACCACTGACATTAAAAAATCAAGGCCGGGTACTGGTGGCTCAAACCTGTAATCCTAACTATTCAAGAGGCTGAGATCTGAGGATCTCAGTTCAAAGCCAGCCTGGGCAGGAAAGTCTGTGAGACTCTTATCTCCAATTAACCCCCTAGAAAACTGGAAGTGGTGATATGTCTTAAAGTGGTAGAGCGCCAGCCTTGAGCCAAAGAGCTCAGAGACACCACCACCCAGGCCCTGAGTTCAAGCCCCATGACCAAAAATAGTCAAGATGTGGCCATTTTCCAATGACTAGATTGCTGTAAAGCCATAGCTCTTGTAAAGAAAGTCACTTGTCATTAATTTATTTTGATATGTAGAAGGAAGTTGCTGTAATACAGACAAACACACACACATATCAGAACACACTTCCTCTATGTTTTCTCCTAAAAAAATAAGACATATTGTGTTTTTTTACTCTATGGGAATCAAGTTCACTTTGCATTTCAGAATTCTCTGAAACATTTTGAATATTGTAAAACTAGACCATAGTTTTCCTATATGCACCTTCCAAACCTTACTGCAGCCTCAAGTAGGTTATAAACTCTGGGTTTGCAACTAAGCTCTCTGTACACAAATATGTACTATTGGGCTGGGAAGGTGGCTCAGTGGTAGAGCGCTTGCCTTGCATGCCTGAGGCCCTGGGTTTGATTCCTCAGCATAAGCAGAAAAAACCGGAACTGG